AAATTTGTCCTCCAAGCACCCTCTGATTCATTAGAATTGAAGTATTGTAGCAGATTGCAATTAGCAAGACTGTGTACAGAAGGTTACAATCTAGAAATTGCTAGGAAGAAATCAGATGAAATAGTTAGAAATGTTATCTTCCCAGCGTCTTTCAAATCATTAGAGTTGACGTATTACAGCATATTACCTTGAGCAACCTTTTTCGCAGAAGGTCACAATCAAATTTGACTGTTTTAATGAATTCGTATAGTAATTTTTTGTAACAAAAAATATTCTAATTATTTTCTTTTAACTCATCTATATGCAGTTTTATCAACGATTAGTTTTAACTAAGAATGCAAAAAAGGAGATTTGCTTCCAGTCGTTACCAACGCGGGAAATTAATTTTATGTTATTCACGATAGATCACGATTTCTAAGATGGAAAATTTAAATACGTGAGTGGATTGTATCATCTGAAATCTTTATCTTAACTGAATATTTACTTCTCTCGTTGTAGAGGTACTAAAGAATTGCAGAGATTGCACATTAAGTCTTACAAAATAACAGAATAACATATTACGTCACGAAATTAATGTGTATATATAAACAGGTGGCCTCTGACTAAAAAGAATTAGCTACCGTGAAAAGGTTCAACTAGATACCAGACAAAATGAAGTTTCTTATTTTTATACTCATATCAAGTTTATTATTTGCTCGGGTAAGTACTATTAATACTCCATTAATACTTTAGTATTTTGCTCCGTCATGCTTTTTATAACGAGAACGTTAAAAAACGAAAGAAAAAACACATTTAATTTTTTAATTAAATTATGAACAGTGGCGTTCAGTGTTAAATGGAAAAAGTTTACAATTAATAATGGGTTCAATTTGAAGCAGAAAGTGTACTTTTGGGGGAAAATTTACTAATTTTTTGTAATTTTTCTCGAAACAAGTCTGTACATATCACCAACTAAACAGCCCTTGCAAGATTATTTGCGAATTTTTTTTTAAATACTGCGTTGTATGAACTAGTCTAATATCTCTTTAAATCTGACATTGGAAAGCTAAAAAAAATGTATAAAGGAACAAATTACTTAAAATTTACCCTAAATCGAGCTATCATATACATTTTTTCGGGTGAAATTTAATTAAACATTCGTAATAGAAAATGTTTATTATCAAATTTATGCGCATTCGCACCATACGTCATAGATTTTTTGATTCTGGAAACGCTAATTAAGGGGCACTTTCGATGCATCAAGAAATTTTTGACAATTGAAATATGAGTTGGCGTATGTTTGCTGTTGTCTTAAATTTTATTCGATATCATTTCTATCCGTTTCTGTTCCGTTAAGTTTAGTTCATATTCGATTTTAGAAATTGATTTTATTTTAAGAATTGATGTATAAGCGTCCAAGATAATTGATTCTTTATATAATATCGTAAAAATAACTTTACTTACTCTTATGTGCATCGAATTGTACTATACTTAGAAATTTTAGTGTTACCGAACATCAAATATTGTGGAACTTTTAGTGTTACCGAATATCATATATTGAATATATTGCACCAAGTAGTGTAAGAGAACATTCTAAAATTAGAACATTCATAAATTCAACTGTTTCATTTCATTTAAGGAGTGTCTTAAGATGAGTTTTCTTACGTTTAAGAAAGGGAGGCGCATTATTTGGTTTTAAATCAATAAATATTAATTACATTTACTTCATGTTTCCATAATTAAAAATTATCTTTTTTATATTAACATATTAATATTTTTAAGATTATTTAAAGATGTTAATATTAATTGTATAAAAACAATTTCTACCTAAAGACTAATGCTGATGGAAACTTCTAAATTTACGTGATATTTCTGTTAATTTTGAAAATCGAAAACATCAACAAAGTTTTTCAAAAATAAGCTTTTTTTTAAGAAAGTGGTATGGTGATAAAGAATTGTGCATTATATTTATTATTAAGAAATATAGTTTACGGGATATTTCTGTTAATTTAATAAACTATTTGAAATTACATTCTCTTAAGTGGTCTAAAATAATGAAAAATAGTGTATACCTTGCGGTTTAGAATTTTTTGTCTCTTACTAAAAAGAAAAATATGAAAAGGTAAGTAAATATGATAAAGTTAGTTTCGATTGAATTATCCTTGAATAAATGAACTTTATAATTCTGTGTTATATTTCAAAAATTGTTTGAAATCGCTTAAAATATTCTCAAGATATGGTGAAATACGTAAAAAGTGAAATTAGCATTAAGAGGTCTAAACTTAGCACTGCTCACTTTACTAAACTATTGGGACCATATTTCCCATATATTTTGGAGATTATATGTGGAATTCGTTGAAAGAAGGTCTATTTTACGTTTAGAACGTACGCTTTCATGTCTGGTTATAACTTAAAGTATCATCTGTCATAATTAATTAGTTACCACCAAAATGTTTTACAAACTTGTAAGGAAAAATAATTCTGAAGGTTTTAGAATGATTGATAATGTTACCAAAAATTTAAAAGCCTCACCACCATAAAAATAGAACAAAGTAATGTATCATACTCATTTTTGAGTGGTTTACTCTACATAGTTTGAAACAAAGAATCATGCTTTAAAACATAAAGCTAGCTACCACTGGAATTTTATTTTCCATAAAGGTATAGAAAGTGGGAAGCCTTGTATCTATCTCAAATATCTAAATGGAAAAAGTGGTGAAATATACCAATTAATAGCAATAATAAATATATCAATTAATAAGTTCTATAATTGAAATAAAAACTGAAGCATGTACTATATAGCTAAATTAATGGATAAACGGTTATAATTAATTTAGGGGAAAAAGTTAAAAATCTCCATACTCTAATTAAAGCCAATGATTATTTAATTTCGGTAAAAAATACTAATTGAAGTAAAAATATGAGCTATGTGCTAAAACTTAATAGTTCAATTAATAGTGCAAATCAATTAACTCAATAGCAATAGTTCAAAATTAATAGTGCAATGGTTTTCATTCGTTTTCTAGAAGTGTAAAAAATTGTCATGCTGTAAAGACTCCGAAAATGCTTAATTAATCTTGATAATAGATCTTAATTGAAATTAAATATAAACTATCTTCCGGAAAGATAAACTTATGTATAAAAGATACTAATTCTTTCAGGAGGAATATGAAAAATCACCATACTATTATTGATTGCTTAAATCGCGATACAAATATAGATCATAAAATTGCTTCATAAATTAATTTGGTTATTGGCACTTTAATTTGCATGGCATTTGGTGCAATTTTTACCAATACCAAATATACTAATGTAGTCAAAATTAATATAATTGGTATCAATTAAAACTGCATTAATACTGGGCAGTTTTANATATCTAAATGGAAAAAGTGGTGAAATATACCAATTAATAGCAATAATAAATATATCAATTAATAAGTTCTATAACTGAAATAAAAACTGAAGCATGTACTATATAGCTAAATTAATGGATAAACGGTTATAATTAATTTAGGGGAAAAAGTTAAAAATCTCCATACTCTAATTGAAGCCGATGATTATTTAATTTCGGTAAAAAATACTAATTGAAGTAAAAGTATGAGCTATGTGCTAAAACTTAATAGTTCAATTAATAGTGCAAATCAATTAACTCAATAGCAATAGTTCATAATTAATAGTGCAATGGTTTTCATTCGTTTTCCAGAAGTGTAAAAAATTGTCATTCTGTACAGACTCCGAAAATGCTTAATTAATCTTGATAATAGGTCTTAATTGAAATTAAATATAAACTATCTTCCGAAAAGATAAACTTATGGATAAAAGATACTAATTCTTTCAGGAGGAATATGAAAAATCACCATACTATTATTGATTGCTTAAATCGCGATACAAATATAGATCATAAAAATGCTTCATAAATTAATTTGGTTATTGGCACTTTAATTTGCATGGCATTTGGTGCAATTTTTACCAATACCAAATATACTAATGTAGTCAAAATTAATATAATTGGTATCAATTAAAACTGCATTAATACTGAGAAGTTTTAATACAGATAATGTAGAAAGATGTGCATTATTGTTTTTCAACAGCGATAAGAATCAAAGAAAATCGGTTAATTTTGGTAAGTTTTAACCATCATGAGTTGGTCATGAGCAATATCATTATTTCAAAAGTTTACTGAGTTCAGTTAGTCTTTATTTTGATGGAAGGAACTACTAAAAAAATTTTCACCTAATCTGATATTGTAATGCCATCGGCAAAAAAAAAAAAATAATAAAGATAAAGTAATTGGAATTGTCCTAGTTTTATTTATTTTGTTGGCATATGCCTATTAGTTATATGCCTATTAGTTTTAAATCTTTGTATGGCATTACATATCCACCTAATGTTATTTTTAATTCCCACGTCGAAGTTTTTTTTTTCAAAACCATGTTATGCCGAATACTTTTTGAAGCATATTGTAAGTCAATTATTTTCTGTTCAATGCTTATTTATTTTTGTCTTACTTTTAAAAATAAAATTATCATTTGCTGTATTTAGACTTATAGTCAACAATCATTGCATACATAATTATGAGAAGTTGTTCTAATGTTTTTAGGCTTTATTTTTTAGAGTACTATTTTAAAATGCATTCTTCTATTTTTTAGAACAAATTTAGCTCGAATTTTCTTAGCGTCCTTTAAACTTTATTTTATCGAGAGTATACTGTAGTTAATATAAAGTTTGTATGCGATTTCAAAGGGGGTAAAGGAAAATAAACCATCTATAAATTAAAACTGAAAAACACTTCGAAGTAATGTTGAAAAAAATGTTGAAAATGATGAAAATATTTAAATATCAGTATTTTATATTACGAATCAAAGAAATCTGGAATTACTCAGTATTGTAATGATAACTTCGTTTCAAAGATTTAATAATATTTAAGTTGTCACGAAATATGTACAATTATACTATTTCTTACTGTTTCTATTAATTGTATTTTTTACCCTCATGAAATATAAATTTATTAAAATAACATTTGATTAAATGAAAAAAAGACCAACAAATTAATTTTATAAAATAAGATTACCTCTTTGGCAGTTTTAATAACGATAGAACTTTGTTTGACATGCTTATTTATTTTAAAATTTCAGGACTCTAACATTACGAGTAATTTCATTTCCAATCAAAGATTTCATAGAACGTAGGTTGAGAAGGTTATATCACACTAATTTAAATAAATAAGCGGAATAATCACGTTTTACTTTATGTCTACGAGACAAAATATAATTTCATTTCTGCGGAATCTTGAAAACTAAGTAGGGAAGTACTGATTCTTTTAGATTTTAATTTGATTGAATATGATAAATATTATACAATCATCTTTTTTAATGAAGTTGAAGAGTAATTAATCTGGCAACAACCATTTAATATAAAAATTACTAGATTTATATCTTATTTGATCAGCATGTCCATAGAGGTACTACAGGATTACAGAGATTTCATATTCAATCTTACAAAATTATATAAAAGAGAGGCCTCAGAGTAAAAACATTAGCTACCCTGAAAAGCTTCAACTAGATAACATACAAAGTGAAATTTCTTATTTTTATTCTCATATCAAGTTTATCATTTGTTTGGGTAAGTAAAATTAATGCTTTATTTAACATGTATTTTGCTTCATCATACTTTTACTAACGATAATGAAAATGTATTGATATAAAAAACGAAGGAAGTAGCACATTCAAATTTTCAATTAAATTATGCACCTTAATGATATAGCAATTTTCTTGGACACCTGGGATCTTCATTTAGAGCATCTGAATTGTGTATTGCAGCTTATTAAAGAAGCAGAACTTTCAAATTAACCTTCAAAATGCCGTTTTGATCAAGATCATGTTCTTTATCTAGGATATATCATCGGACAAAGTCATAGAAAACCCTCTGATATACGGGCAGTAGCCGAATTACCTGTACCTAACATCAAAACTGAGATTAGGGCATTTTTGGGACTAGCAGGCTATTACAGTCGATATGAACCAATGTTCTCTGTTTTAGATACACCGTAAACAGACATTTTAAAAGGTATAACAACAAAAGGGAGAAATTGCCTAGACTAACAATTGTGAAGAAGCCTTTAAGACACAAAAACAAACATTATCAAGCTAACCTATACTCTTCCCTCCCAACTGTGATAAAGAATTTATCTTACACTCAGACGGTTCGGAAAATGTTGTGGATGTGGTATTAACACAAGATTTGTGTGGTATTAATAAATGATGTGGATGTGGTATTAACAAAATCTGGATACTATCTGGACTGACAAAAGTTTACGATTCAGACTGATCATCACTCGCTACCCTGGCTTAAAGCAAATGCTAGTGCAAATGCCAGACTTATTCGCTGGGCTTTAGCACTACAACCGCTTAATTTTCAAATTGTGCATAGAGCTGGCATTAAGAACAAACATTCAGATGGTCTTAGTAGGACATCTTTGAAATCTTGATTTGAATTAGACAAAAGTTACTTGATGAGAAGTTTCATGCAAATAATGTTTTTTTTTTACTGATGGTAGCACAGTTTAGTCTTATTTTCTTATTCATTGTATGATTTACTTTGAAAAATATATCGTGAGGAACTCGTAAAGAGATTAGTTTATAACAAAAGTTTGAGCAACCAAAATTTAATTTGAAAAAGGGTTCAAAACTATTATGATTAAATTGAAACAGCGGTGATAGTTCGATTGAAAAGTACTAGTGTTCGTAAATTATATTATTTTTTTGTAAGTTAATTATACAAATATTAGTAAGATTAAGTTTGGACTTAATTACGTGAAGTTGAAAAGTGTTAAGTATTTTGCTTGGTTATGAGTTTTTAAACTAGTTACATCAAACAAAACTAAGCATTTTAATAAAAAAAAATCGAATAACCTTCAGTCCTTAGATATTGTTGTATCCATGTAAATAGTTATATTTCTTTGTATTTATTTTATGTGAAGTTAAATTATAGTATTTGTTTACATTCTAATTTTATTTCGAATATTTTAGTTTGATATTTAAATTGAGTCATGAGTGAATTGTTTACTAATGTCTACTGCAATTGTCTAAAAATAATTTAGTAACTTTATGCTTTAAAGTTAAATATTGCTCATCACTACTAATGCAAAAATATTATGTTAAAATATGCATTTAATTTGTCAATTAGAAAATTTTGTCTTAAAGGTAGAAAGTTTTGATTGCAACACAATGCATTAGTTTCAACCTAGAGTTTTAAAGATGTATGTACGCAAATGAGTTCAGAAATAACTTTTCCTATGTTTTTTTCTAGATAAGTTCTAGGGATAGAGGAGTTACAAAGTTTAAAAATATCTGAGAAAATTCTGGTTAAGATAAGCATTAATAAAATTTTTTTAGTAAGATAAATTATAAATAAAAGCACGAGACATTTTATGGAACATCAGAGAGTTGTTGATTTTTGCTGAGAATAGTTTTTGTTTTTGAAATTATGGTTTAAACCCATTGCGGGTTTTTCCATTTATTTCACAAGGATATTACTCACCCGTTACGGAGATTTTAGTCTTGTTTAGTTTATGTGTGGTTGTCAAAAAAGTGTGTTTTTATTAAAAGAACTGTGTGAGACATTTCTCTTTCGGTTCGTTTTAATGAAATCCTCAATAATATTTCAGGTATAAGCATTTATTTCGTCATCTCTGGATTAATTATGAGTAAAAAGTGAAATATGAGTATATACATAATCTACATGGCATTAAAGTCCGGAGCTCTCCTGCTCCCTTCCAGTTCATACCTTCGCTCTCCTAGTCCAGCTAATAATACTCAACTCTTCTACGTTCAAACTAATACTGATCTAAAAATCCTCTTTCTCACAAGAAAAAGTCCTTCGCGCCACCCCCAATGTAGGGGGGTGACACTTCCCGTGTCCCTTACCCTCTGACCCTCAGGTCAGGGGTCAATCAAATGCATGGGAGATGAATCAGGATCTTGACACCTCCCCCCCGGTTTCATCTAGTTCGACCTTCTTCCCTGGTCGTACAAGTGAAACCTAAAAACAATGCAAGCTCATCCCTGCACCAAAAAACAATAACGCGCACACATTTCCGTGCGCAAAAGAGATTGGCCGCATTATACCTTATTAAACATAAAATTACACTTAGGACACTTAACAAACTAATAAATACAAAATCAAAACATAGCATAAAAGCATGTAACATTTTTACAATCAAAACATTAAAATCACTTTTATCAGGACAAAAATAAAATATCCATGCCAAAATCTCTTTATCACATTCCATAAAAATAAAATCCTTAAAGTCGTCTCCAACATCCCTTCCAAAAAAAATAATAGTAATTAGCACACAAAATTAAACGTCCAAACTGCCCAAACGTCAACTCTTTCAAGTGCATCGACCTAATCCCCTCGAACAAATCACTTTCCCTAGTACTCCCTCTATGATTTCTTAAGTGGCTAGTTAACTCTTTTGCTCTATTTTTCCTTTCAGAACTCCCTCTCTGAAAACGAATTCTTATTTTCCTATGCACCTTATGGGTTTTAATTCTGATATCGGGAGTATTCGACTTCGCAGCTGTGTATGAATCCTTCGGGTACAGCTCTATCCATCCTTGGAAGTTCCTACCTGGGTATAATCCCATAATTATCTCACACCACCTGCCTTAGATTACGTCCCCTCCTATCAGTCCAAGATCGACTGCCGCATAAAAATTTTAAGTGTGTGCGCCAGAATAGCGAAATAAAGCCAAATCTAGATGGATGAAACTGATGGGCGCCTTCTTATGAATGACTTGTAAAAAAATCGTCTTCAATGATTTGTAGTTACAAAAATGTTGCAGCTAAGAACATGCGAAAAAAATGGTGATGCCGAATAAAAATAAGTACCAGTCAAGATATCTGTACATAAAAAATATTTCTTCATGTGTGTGTGTTTTTTTTTTTTTAAATTTAGAACTGCAATGTAAAAATTTTTTTGACAATTAAAAATTTTCTTCGTATATTTCATACATTTCTAATATGATTAATTATTAATTTTATAGGATGGTCGAATTCTGCTAATTAACTTTGTGAAAGTTTTCATGAGTAGTTTTTCTGAATTTAAGGAAATAATTTTTTTAAATTTTAATGTTGAAGTTTTAAATGCTGTTGATAGAGGATAAAAAATTAATCCGATCAAAACTATTGTAATTTATCATTTCTTAAATATGTAAATATTTCTTTTTATCAATTGAATATTTTTATTTTCCGTTTTAAAAATGACAATTTTGATATAAATCTAGATCAATTAAACTGCAACAAGATGAGAAAAATACTGTACATAAAGCTGCTTAAATTTAATTTATTTTACCCTTTTTTTTACTTTATTTTTCACTATTTTATTTTTCACTTTAAAAATTCGTAGCAAATAAAATTTACTGTCAAGAAAATAAAATTTATTGTCAAGACAAGCCATTAAAAAAAGTTTTTTATTTAGGAAAAAAAATTTATGCTTTTTTCCTTGATATGATATTTGCTTTGGAATTTCAAAGAAAAAAAATAAGCCCGTGTCATGATTGTTTAGTCATATATAATTACATGACGTTGTGAATACATGTCATTCTGATCAGAAGTTTCAATAGGCAAAATATTCCAAATTCAATATTTTTTAAAATATTGTCATATTTTAGGACCCTGTACACACTAGAGTATCGCAATTTTATTTTTACCTCGACGTTAAAGATATAACTGTGAATATTTTTTTTAACAGTGACTTTTTTTAAAAGGCGAGCGCATTTGATGCATAAAGGCCTAAAATTTCATCCAATTTCTATATCACGTGTTGAAAACTTTCGATTTGAAACCAATAAGTTATTTCATTTTTTATAACAATATATTAACCAGATTTAAGAAGTTTTATAAAATTGGCATTTCATGACTTGTTTTATTACTACTTTATATAAGTTTATGACTACTTTATACTTTTTATGATTACTTTATATATTTAATTTTAAGTTAAATGCTTCCATTGCACACAAGTGATATATGTGCCAGTATTATAAATTTTAAAATCAATATAACAATACAGATATTAACCAAAATTGTCTGAAAAATTAAGTTAAAAAATAATAGTAATAATTAATAACTTTATGAATTGAATCAGCTCCAAATGATATTACTTTTTTTTAATTTTGATATATCATTTTATATATGTCATACGGTAACCAAATTATATATAGACTGAGCAATATTTTCATCAAAATCTTAATTTTATATTAAGTCCATTTTTTGATTTTATAAAGCCTACGAAATACAATTTTCAGTGTCTGACTTAATTCCATCATTCCTGCCGTTCTGTACACCGGATAATAACAATAATAATCTGAATTAAAATATTTTGATTTTATTTTATGACCTACATTCTTAATAGCTTCTTTTAATTTTTTTTTCTTTGATAGACAATATCAATAGAACTCTTTTGGCGTTAAGATTCTTGTTTTTATCATTAATTAACTTAAATAACGCATGAGACATGTTGTTTTATCATCAATTTTCAAATTCATCATATCCAATTTTAAAAGTTCAATAATTAATTTGTCTTTTTTTAGTTTAAGTAAAATGATAAAACTATATTATTT